GAAGAAGAAGAAGAAGAAGAAGAAGAAGAAGAAGAAGAAGAAGAAGAGCAACAACAACAACAACAACAACAACAACAACCTGGGATCTGTCTAGGAACACAAAAAATAACTTCTCTCTCTCTCTCTCTCTCTCTCTCTCTCTCTCTCTCTCTCTCATAAAAAATAGAACTTCCCTGTCCAGGAGCAATCTATCTGCAAAGACCAGATTCTGATGGATTGCAGAAGAAATAGGGGGGGGGGGGAGAGAGAGAGAGAGATGACAGATTTTCCCCACCCCCCCAAAGATCTAAAAACGGATTTTCTCCTTGTTCCCACCTGGGATCGGTCTAGGATCAAGGGCAGACCAGAAGCCGCTATCTAAATAAGCCCGCTGACACCCGCCCCCCATTCCATAATTTTCCTCCAATGCCACGCATGGACAGATGCCCCCCCCCCCCCCCCCCCCCGCCCGGCCGCCTTTCCCAATCTGCTTGGCTGACTGCCCGGCCTTCCACAGTGCCTGCCGAACCTTTCAAGGGCATCCGGATGTTTCTGGATCCTCCTACCTCCTCCCTTCGGGATCTCCCCACGGTGGGTGGATCTGTAGCCCCGCGAGACCCCCTACCCCCCCCCCCCAACCCCCCCCCCCCCCCCCATGAACCCAACGATGCCAAGTTTCCCCCTTGCAGCCAATTCTCTCCGTCCCGGCGAGGTGAAAAGAGCCAACCAAGCCCCCCAAACAAACACACACGCACACACACACGCCTCTCTTCCTCCTCCGTGGCCCATCTTCCGAAGCCAGGCTGGGAAGCATGGGCTTTGTGGGAGGGGGGAGCGAGGGCGGGGTGTTTTACCTTGCCCGCCTTCTGCCGGGGTGGCATTTCCTTCCTGGGCACCAGCAGGCCAGGGAGGGGGGAAAGGGGGCAAAGGGGGGGGGGGGGGGGGGGGGGGGGGGGGGAGAGAGGGAGGGAGCTGGACCACAGGCGGGAGGAGGTTGCCATGGCGACGGCGGCTGTGCTCGGATGCTCACAGCATCCTTGCTTTTACCCCGGAGGGAGAATAGAAGAAAAGCAACCAGGGAAAATTGGGTGGGGGGGGGGTGGGGGGGCGGAATTAGGAAAGGGACCAGGCAGGGGGCCGGCGGGTGGGGGGGGGGCCAGCACCCCCCGGGGGGGGGGGGGGGGGTTTTTTTTTTTTTATTATTTTTAAAGGGGAAGAAGCGACGCTCGCACTTTCCTCCCCCCCCCACCACGACGGAGACAATAGCGGCCGCATCTCCAACCCCCCCCCTCACGCACACATACATTAGTACCCTAAAAGCCCCCCCCTCCACTTTTCACTCCACCCCCCCCTTCCCCATGCATTGCACACCCCGTCATCCATCCATCCATCTGACAACCCCCCCACCCCAAAAAAAGCCTGGTTCTCACGCTGATCCGGACGAGGGCGTCCATGATGGAAGTAAAAGAGTGGAGGTCGTCGCCCTCGGCCATGTCTCCCCGGGGAAGCGGGGACACCCCCCCACCCCCCCCAACCCAGCGCCGCGCCTGCAGCAGCGGCGGCGGCGGCGGCGGCGAACGCCTCGGTCTATTGCAGTTGGGGCTGATCCATAGGGAGGGGGGGGTTGAAAGGGAGTGCGCATGCTCGGGAGATGCTCAACCCAATAGTGGCTTATCCCCCCCCATTTAAAGGAAGGCGGGGGGGGGAGAGATCCTTTGCATGGCGATGGCTGGATGAGCCAAAAAAAAAGGATTTGCAAGTTGAAAGGGGTGTGGTGGGGCTCCCCCCATTGGAATTGTGCATGGGGGGGCGGGGGGAGCCGTCTGCACAAGGTCAGAGGCTGTCTTGCCCAGCTGGGCATTGCACAGCCCTTGGTGGAGAGAGAGAGAGAGAGAGAGAGAGAGGGGGGGGCCGCCTCTGAGCCTACGCAGAGGGTCCTCTCCGCTTCTTGCTGGGGCAAGAGGCGGAAAGGCGCGCTTGGCTATGATTGCAAAGGCGACTCGTGTAAATTTTATTTCTTTTTTTAGGGATTTCTTCCCCAACACACACAATCTTTGCAAAAGCGGAGAGGCGGGTCTCGAACCGGCCACGGCGTGTCACGCCTCGCTTTGTTCGACGCCTCCGGGAAGGGAGATGGCACGCGGCCCCCTAGCGGCCGGACGGTGAACAAGCCACTCCCACCTATCGACGAGGCGAGGCCATCTCCGCGCATGTACCAAAGCGCTTCACGCCCCACACTCCTTTTGTACGCAGGCGCGGTAGGACAAGTACACGTCTACGCTCAGCCGCCGAGGCGGTCCCGCGCGTGCGCGAAAAGAAGGTCCAGCGTGGTTGAGAAAAAAAAAAAAAAAAGGCTCTTCCCGGCGGCGCATGCGCAAGGCAGACGGACGCTCTGGTTCAAACCGAGGAGGGATCGTTGGCTCGGCGGACGGAACGGGGGCGTCGCGCGGGGCATGATGGGTAACGTGGTCTCCGGGAAAGGGGAGGTGGGCATCAGATTAAGTAAGCCAAATGCATCCTGGGTAATCTGGCAAGGGTGGGCAAGGCAAGGCAAATGAGAGAGGCCATGGCATTACCCAGAACCCCCCCCCCCAAAAAAAATTGGTGCCTTCCAGCTGTGCTGGACTACAACCCCCATCATCCCCAGACAGCACAGCTTCCCTGGGCAAAGACAGTATTTGTGCCATTGTATTTGTTCTCACCATTGTGGGCGGAGGGGATGATGGGTAAAGGGGCATTGCGGGCGAAGGGGATGATGGGTAAAGGGGCACTGTGGGCGGAGGGGATTATGGGTAAAGGAGCACTGGACGGAGGGGATTATGGGTAAAGGCACTGTGGGTGGAGGGGATGGCATAGATATATCTAGTTTTTGCACCCCACCAGCCTCAGCCCAGGACGGGAAGTCACCAACCCCCCTCCTCTCCTTCCGCCTTCCAACCCTGGATAAGCCAGGATGCATTCCTCAAACAAGCCATGGTTCGCAGGATTCCCCCCCCCCCCCAAGACCTCTCCAAGAAAGCTGCGCTGCCCGGAATCCCCCCACGTAACCCTTTTTTGGACCCTTCCCAGCGCCGATGACCGAATTGTCCCGATGTCCCGAGTTGTCCAGCCGTCCGTAACCGTCTCTTTCTTTCTCTCTTTCTAGCCGTCAGCACGGGAATTTCTCTGGTGCTTTCCTCCCTCTTGTCTTTGCTGCTTTTCACGGGGATGCAGATGTACAGCCGCCAACTGGCCTCCAGCGAATGGCTGACCATCCAAGGGGGTCTTTTGGGGTCGGCCCTCTTCATTTTTTCCCTAACCGTATCCTTTTCTCCTCTGTGTGTGCGTGTGTGTGTCGGGTCTGTGACAATTCACCAACTCTCCCCAGGTGAAGAGTTACAGTAATATCAAAGAAATGGTGGAAAAGAATCATTAAAGGACTAGCTAGATACCCATGTGCTTCGCTATGAAACTATGTGGTGAGGGGAATTGTGCCTCTGTCTCCCGGTATCCATCTGGCTAGCGTCCTGTCAGTGTGTGAGAGAGTGGAGGGCTGTTTGGAAACCCAAATAGTATTTGCTGTGTGAGCAAGGAGGAGACAGCAAGGAGCCTGGGCGTGGCTTAGCTCAACTGTTCTGTACTAAAGCTGCTTGCTGCTCTGAACCTAAAACTGAAACTCTTCACCTCTGCTTGTGTTTTACATTTGGAAGAGATTTCTTTCCAGGTGGGGAGGGGGAGTAGAACTCCTTAGCATCAGAGCGTGTTAATAATAATAATAATAATAATAATATAGGAAATACTCTAAATGCTCTGAGGGTCATTTCAGAAAATCCTTTCTTAGTGAGCCCCTAGAAGCCAAGTTTGTAGGCTTTACAGTTCTGGAGATTTTGTGATGATGCGTGTAGTGGTATTTATGCTTATATATATATAAGCATAAATATATATTTATATATATATATATATATATTTCATTCAGTCCCTTCTTTTGCATATATATAATATAT